GTCCTGCCGACGAAGACAGACTGCAGATGAACCTGAATCGGTTGGAGGAGTGGTCAAACCGTTGGCTCCTGCGGTTCAACGTTGCCAAATGTAGCATATTTCGCCTAGGCCACACAGCCAGATCGGCCAGCACAAGAGACTAATTTCTGGGCGGTGCAACCTTAAAAGAGGTCGAAGCCCAAAAAGACCTCGGTGTGCTGACGACCAGTTCCCTAAAGCCATCCGCCCACTGTTCAAGAGTGGCAAAAACCGCAGTGTCCGTACTGTACTCCATCGAGCGTGCGTTTATGGACTTTGACGAAGAAGCTTTCTCTAAGACATTCGGAACATTCGTCCGGCCGCATTTAGAGTACGGCATACAAGCTTGGAGGCCGTGGGCTGTGGAGGATCAAAACTGCCTCGAAAGGGTCCAGAGGAGAGCCACGAAGATGGTTAGGGTCAAAGCTCCTTTCCTTATGCAACCGGCCTAGTAAATCTGAACCTCTTTCCTTTGAGTTACATGCAACTTCGCGGGGATCTCTTGCAAGCCTTCCGCATTGTTAAGGGGTTGGATTGCAGTCTGGCCATCGAGGACTTTTTTGAATTTGCTACCACGACCAACCTCCGAGGTCACCCGTTAAAACTGCGCACTCAGCATGCAAGGTTGGGTGTACGGAAGTTGTCCTTCTCTGTTCGAGTGGTCAAACCATGGAATGCCCTTCCTGCAGATGTTGTGATGTCACCATCCATGCAAAGTTCTAAAAAGAATCTTGACATATTTATGTTCCAAAATGACCAAGAGCGATGAGAAGTAGAGCTCACCCCTGTAACTCCTTCTCATTTTGTCCCACCATTATGGGCGTGTTCGAACTATTTCAGCCCAGAACATCTATCTGTACACCACACATTTTTTACGTTGCAAATAGGGTACTCAAAGGCTTACGCCTATTTTCCTCAATAAACTGAACTGAACTGAATACAGTTTTGCTGCCAACGGAGTTGTTTCGTTGGAACCGAGCAGTGCACCATCCACTTGGCTTAGAAGAGAGCAAACAGACTTGGTGGGCGCAAAATATTTTACATTTTGTGGCATGCGTGCTCATGGAGTTCTTCAGTCATGCGGCTTGAATCTGTCTGTGTTCTCCCTGCGTCAGGTTTCGTAGTCTGAAGAGCGATGCCTAGTTGGGCTAGGATCTGTTGTCGATTTGGGTCTTATGTGACCTATTTTTAAGATGATATTGCGGAGTTTCTCGGCCTTCTCATCATACTAGCCCTAGTGCTGACATCGTACACGATCGATAACGTACTGAATAATGGGTGGGTGACGTTCCGCAGTCGACCACAGTGAGTATCAACAGTGGCAACCATTTCACAGATTGCGTTTGTTCCAGACTGAGATTTAAGTAATTGCCAACATATAACCGGCGCTAACCCATGTACAGTAATAAACAGTTCGACCGTCGTTTCCGACGATGTCCACCGTGTGCTCCACAGCAAGGTGAGAGCAGGGACGGTGACTTGCGCGGGATTAGGTTTATAGTGAGTGTAGACTTGTGCAGCATCTACCGCAGTCTTTACTCCCCCCCCCGCCTGGATCCGGTGTCAAAACAGAGTCAAGAAAACCAGAGGCGGGATAGGGCGCAGGTAGATGGCACGGTTGAGTCCGCACCTTGGCGTTCCACTCCACACCCCCTGGTCCACACAGCAAATGACCAAGTTTTTGACCAACGGCAAAAGTGTGGCTGGCGCGGCCGGAGCTGCACTTAGGCGTGCCGCCATACCCGGCTCGGATCCCACGGAATGGGGGTGCCATAAATGCACGTCAAGAAGGAGCCACTACAGCCTGACTCTTACATCACCAGCCGGCCACTCCACACAAACACAACACTGGGCCGATTGCGAGGTCCAAGTTATCCCGTCAGTTGGCAACCTTCCAAACCACGGCTTTTAGCGCACCATGATAGCTTCAAGCGCGTCAGATTGTTTAAAGTGAGAAAATGCGCTGAGTCATCGACTTCACTCTCCCTTCGCATTCCTAGGCCCCAGCCACTATCCGAGCCGGTTAGTTAACCGGTGAGGGGAATTCGCGCGGTAGCTGTCATATTTAGTGACTTTGTCTGCGCGCGCCACATGCACGACCTGGTCCCCCAATCACAAGCACCAGAATTGTACACAAACGGGGGTTGAGCGGCGTACATCTGACATGTGTGGGAGAACCAGAGGTCACATTGAGAAAGAGCCGCTCCAGCCTGGCTCTCAGCCCAACAGTCCGCCACTCCACACAAACACAACTGGACAGACTGCATGGTCTGAATTGGGACGTCAGTCAGCAGCCTTTCAAGCCACGGCACTTGACGTGCCGTGATAGTCCCCGACTCCATCCATCCATTCGCCAACCAACCTCTCCTCCCAGTACCCTTCCCCATCCTATCCCCTCCCTACCCTCCTTAACCGAGGAACCACTCTTTTCATCTACCATAGTTAGGGCCGAGCTACTCCGGCTGAAACCTGCAAATCGCCTGGCCCAGATAGAATTCCCGCCCTAGCACTTCGTGAACTTGCTAATGACCTGTGCAAACCCTTGTCCGCAATATTTCAAAAGTCATTTAAAGACGGCGAGCTCCCGGAAGAATGGAAGTGCGCACTCATTACTCCGATCCATAAAGGAGGCTCAAGACTTGACTGCGGAAATTATCGTCCTGTCAGTCTTACTTGCATCGCGTGTAAAATAATGGAACGCATTATCAAAAGACACTTGATGAAATACCTGGAACAGAACAAAATATTGTGTGATGCTCAACACGGCTTTCGTCCAGGGCGCTCCTGCCTACCGAGTGTTCTTTACTCGCACGAGAAATGGGCACGAACTACCGATAAGGGTTTTCCTGTAGATGTCATATTTTTTGACTTCAAGAAGGCCTTTGACAGTGTCCCACACAGGCTTCTTTTGCAGAAGATCTGGGATGTAGGAATTCAAGGAAGAATGTTTAAGTGGATCAGGAGTTTTCTGTCCTACAGACTACAAGGAGTCGTCGTTAGTAATTCTGCCTCGGGATGGGTAAAGGTGGAAAGTGGTTTCCCACAGAGTTCTGTCTTAGGCCCAGTACTCTTCCTGATTTATGTTACTGACTGCATCAGCGAAGTGAATTGCGAGGCTCTCATGTTCGCGGATGACATAAAAATATGGAGTGAAGTCAAGTGTGATGATGACGCAGAGAAGTTGCAGTCGAACATCAACAAACTGTGTGCTTGGTCGAACAGATGGCTTTTGAAGTTTAACGTGTCCAAATGCGTGGTTTTGCACCTGAACACCGGCCGCAATGCCTCTCCCAAACACCAGTACTATATTGACGGGACGAGGTTAGAAACTGTGGAAAGACACAGAGATCTGGGTGTGTGGCCGACCACAAATCGATCGCCATCAGAACACTGCAGAAAGATGGTCCAGAAGGCTACTAGTACTGTACACTGGATCAGACGTGCATTTAAAATATTTCTTCCCGAACTTTTCGAAAGACTCTTTGGTGTCTTTGTAAGACCTCATCTAGAGTATGGAATGCCAGCAGCTTCACCATGGATGAGGAAGGATATTAACTTACTCGAACAGGTGCAACGCAGAGCGACAAAGATGGTCGACGGTCTGAAGTATTTGTCTTATCAGGAGAGGCTAAATTTGCTTGGCCTATTCCCTCTCTCTTATAGACAAATAAACTGCAGTCTACTCTGGACGTTCCGGATTGTTCGCGGCCAGGGTTGCTCATTAAGAGCAGAGGACTTCTTTGAGTTCGCCCGTACAAACCAACTACGCGGCCATGCATACAAAGTCGAGAATGAGCACACGCGTTTAGACCGACGAAAATTTTCATTCAGCCAGCGGGTTGTCAGGCCGTGGAACTCGCTTCCAAGCGAGATGGTGACGGCTGACACAGTTTGTGTGTTTAAAAGAAAACTTGCTCGTCTAGTTTTCGACAGAAATCGGCTTGTACAGCATGACTATGTTCAGCCAGTTTTGTAAAATCTGTCATATACAATCTTCCGCACTAATTTACAGTGAGCCCATGCACTACCTTATGATTACGATTGAACTGTGACCCAATCACATTTTAAATTCCAGCAATTTTATTTTATTTTTGCGTATGAGTCTGCGAAAGCACTGTACTTAAATAGGGTCATCAAGGGCTCTGCCTGTAACCCTTCAATATATATACATATACATACATATAGACTCGAGTCACGCATGCAGTAGAGGAGCCGCATGGGGCCGGGGCCGAGACGCACATTTCCCACTTGCGTGGGAGGTGGCAGTTGAATACTGGTGGTGGGTGGTGAAGTTGTGTGATGGAAATGTTGGTGGGGGAAGATGCGGTGTTGTGATGTGGCCGACGCTTGTCTGTCGCAGGTTTTCGGAAATGTGCATGTGGCCGAATAGGCCCATGTGGTGAGTGAATGTGCGAGTGCAGTGCGGACAGTTGAGGCGGATGCTTCGGGAGTATGCTGGTGCTCCAGGCGCTAGTTTGCCAGTCTCTGTCAGATGCATTCGCAAGTAACTGATCATGCTGCTGTGTGAGGTGAAGGTGCGGTCGCAATGAGGACACGCATGGACCGAGTCGTCATGGCTATTGTTCACGGTGTGTCGGTTGATGTTTGTTCGTGTATCTGGATTGTGTGCAAGGGCGGTGGGAACAGGAGCCGCCGCAGATGATCTTGAGGCGAGGAAGGAAGTGGAGGAGGATGGTAGTGGGGGTTCGGGAGCGCGGTCAGTGGCAGTCGTCGGCGTGGGGGACGGGACAAAGTTTGGTTGGGGCACAGCGGCTGGTATAGTCCGGATGCTGCAGTTGGTACAAAGATGTCCAATGAGACCGATTGGTGTCTGTAACGTCCGCTGGCATCATGGGCAGGTCGGGTTGGTTGAGTCACGACGTTGTGAGGTGTGCGCAGTTGAGATTTGCGAGCCTCGCGTTTGGCTTTGCCGGCGGTGATGTGGTTGGCTTCGTATATCGTTGCGCCTTTCTCCACTGTCCTCATCCAAGTCGGTCGGTCAAGGGCGAGGTCTTCCCAGTTGACCGGGTTGATTTGAAGACGCTTGAGGAGGTCCTCAGAGTGTCCTTTAAGCGACGGATTTGGCCTCCTTGTCGGCTGGAGTCCGCGGAGACATCTCCGTAGACGAGATGGCAACCGTGACGGTACCAGGTGGTGTTTTTCAGAAGGCTGAATCCTTTGCTGGCTTTGGAAATCCGGCAAGCCACCTCATCGTTGATTTTGGTGTTGCAGGAGAGGGTGCTGCTTGGGTAGGTGAAGTTGTCCACAACTTGCAATGATGCCGTTCACATTGATTTGGGGTTCGATTTAGGCAGCGTCGGGTGGCGGTTGATGCATAACCGCCGCCTTCTCCGTGCTTATGATCAGGTCGAAGTTGTTACAGGTGGCGGCGGAGAGGATCACGTCCCCTTCCGAAGTGGCGTACGCCAGTCTGGGATTCGGCCATGCTACCTCAGCTTTAGTATTCCACAATGACAACTGAGGTGGAAGTGGTTGAGTCGGCGTACCTGTTTCATGTACACCGTCCAAGACTCTGCTCCATACAGTAACGTCAGAAGGATGACGGCCTTATACATCTCCAGTTTCTTGCTGAGCTGAAGACCGTGACGATTGAAAACTGTGTTTGGAAGACGAAAGAAGGCTTGACTGGTCTTCGAAATCCAGCGGCAACTTCGTTGTCAATTTTGGCGTTGCAGGAGAGGGTACTACCCAGATACGTGAAATTGGTCACCACTTACAGTTGGGCTCCGTTCACGCTGAGTTGCGGCGCAGTGTGGGCTGTGTGGGGTAGCGGTTGGTGCATGACCACCGTCTTTTCCGTGTTAATGCTCAGACCAAAGTTTTCGCGGGCGGCGGAGAAGAGATCTTTGCTCCCTTGAATGACCTTTTCCGCGGGAATGTTCAATACACAGTCGTCGGCGAAGAGAGGTTCATGGACGGTAGCTGTGGATAGACGTGACTGGAAGTCATCCGCAGGCGGTTGGGGAGCCGGCCGTACGTTTTGTAGGAGACGCGGATCCCAAACCATTCGTCACGGTAGGCGTCCATTAGCATGGCGGAGAACATGAGACTAAAGAGGGTAGGCGCGAGGACGCAACCATGCTTCACTCCGCTGGTCACTGAAAATGCTTCTGAGACAGCTCCATTATCCGTGACTCGCACTATCATGCCGTCGTGGAACTGACGCAGCATCTGAGGGAACCGTTTGGGACAGCCGAATATGTGCATGATTTCTCACAGGCCTTTGCGATCCACCGTATCAAGGGGTTTCGTCAGATCAACGAAGGTAGAGTAGAGGTGGATCCGCATCTCTAAACACTTCTTTGCAGTTGTCGGACGGAGAAGATCATGTTGGTGGTATCGCGAGGATATCAGAAGCCGCACTGGCTCTCCGGCGGGAGACTGTTCGAGATGGTTGTTCAGACAGTTGAGATGGATGCAAGCGAAGATCTTCCCGGCGCTGTTCATCAGGAAGATGCCTCAGTGGTTGTCGCAGAGCTGGCGATTACCTTTTCGTTTATAGAGGTGAACGATTATGGCATCCCTGAAATTCTGTGAGACTTCCCTTTGACGCAATATGTCCTGGAAGAACGCCGTCAAATGATCAATGAGTTGGCGGCCACCGTGTTTGCAGATCTCAGCAGGGATCGCTGGAGAGCTGGAGCTGGAGAGAGGGCGGGAGGTCGAGGTCGGCGTTTGTCTCCACTTGATGCAGACGGGCGATGGCGGCGTCGCAGATGGTGGAGGGACGGTTGAGGACGCCTCGACAGTGCTCGGTCCATTGCTGTAGGATTTGTATCTTCTCAGTGGGTAGGGTACTGCCGTCAGCGATGAGAAGAGGAGCAGTTCCTTTGGTTGGCGGACCGAAGACAGATTTGATCGCGACGTTGCGGTCCGCGTACCCTTGGATCTCCTCGACCTTGCGAGCTGTCGGAGCGTCCTGCACCTCCCGCAGCCGCTGTTGAACAAGGTGGTGACTACGGCAGAAGGCTGCTTTGTTGTCATCGGTGGGGCGGTCGACGTAGGTTTTGTGCAGGCGGTTCTTCTCGGCGAGCGAGGTGCTGATGGCGGCGTCGTTGTCATCGAACCAGTTGTGGTGTTGGCAACGTACGCGACCGAGGACTGCCAGAGCCGTCGACTAGACTGTGTCCCGCAGTTGACACCATCAGTTCGCCACGGAGGCGCTCTCCTCAGCGGCGGCGGTGGCTAACCGTTAAGCTAGCTGGTTGCCGAAATGGAGATGGTGGGCAGGCAAAGACAACAAAGCAATATTCAACTTACCTAGGGGTCGCTTAACTTGAGGTCTCCTGTGAGACTATAGGCTAATTCGCATCTTGGAGATAACGAGACGATGGCCGGTCCACCCATCGGTATCCGGGATTGCCTTTGCCACCAGCATGTCCTGCTGGTCTCGCCTCCGGACGAGGACAGAGTCCGGCAGGTGCCAATGTCACGAGCGAGGCTGCATCCAGATGGCTTTCTCTCGCATCGGGAGGCGGAAGCTATTGCTTAGAATGAGCCGATTTTCTGCGCAGATTCGTAAAAGGAGCAGATCATTGTAATTAGGGCTATTGAGACCACGGGGACCCAGTACTCCTCTCAATGCATGATGGTCTGTGCCGGCGCGGTCGTTGAAGTCACATAGGACAATCAACTTATCCGCTATCGGCACAGTCGACAGGAGCGCGTGCAGGCCCTCGTAGAATGTGTCTCTTGCGGCGTCAGGCCTGGTCATCCTGGGTAGGGCGTAAACGCTGACGATGGGGGCAAATTTGTCTCCCCGGATAGGCAAGCGGAGGCTCATCAGGCGATTGTTTATGCCCTGCGACAAACAGGACAGTCGTCCCACGATGTTATTCCAGATGGCAAAGGGGACGCTCGCGTCAAGTTACTCTGCATTGGGGCGACCGCTCCGGAAGAAGATGTAGCTGGCACCCACCTTCTCCAGTTGGCCTTGATCGGAGAACCTGGTCTCGCTGAGTGCAGCGATGTCCACCTTGTCGCGTGCCAGTTGCCGAGCCATTAGCGTCGTCCTCCGTTCCAGTCGGTTGTTCTTCGGATTGTCTAAAAGAGAAAGAACATTCTAGGCTGCCAGAGCGAGTGGACTCACTCCCTTGAATCTTATCTTTTTGGGTGCTTCTCCCATTTGTTACCCTTATCCTCATTAGCACATTCAAATCATCCCAGAGATATCGGAAAAACTCACATGGGACAGGCGGGCTTGGAATACCACAGCAAAGCTTGGAGCAGCCATCTTCGAATTTGGGCGAATAACAAGTGCAAAGACAATATCTGATACCACAAGAATAAAGTGCCCTAGGCCAACGACGAATATATCAAACTTGTTCCATCGTGCATATCTTGCTATCTAGCAATTGAGCTGTCCACGTGATGCATCTACAGATCCAGTACAGTACGGTGTCAACATGACAAAGTCCATTTTCAGATCACAAAACACTGCCTCTATCATCAGTATGACCAGTGGACGCATTCCTACGTCCTGGCCTGCCATCAACACCTTCTTCTAGTCCACAAGCAGTATGTACTCAGCTTCAGCCTCATATTTCAATTACACATTGACCTGGTCAGTTAACAGTTGAGTGGGTCACCAGATACGTCGGCCTGAGGTTAAATTTATCATTAGCACTATTTTGCCAATCCCCGTTCAGATTCATTCGAAAAAGTATACAGGTATTCAGAGGTCCTAGCGATAAAGCAGAGAACATAGGATGCTCAATGGTGGAACGCCAACTGTGGTCTGCAATCGTATAGCAGGTGGCGTTTCGGCTCGCAACATTCTCGACTCCCGAATCCACCCATCCAGTCCTGGTTTAACCTTTAAGACTGGATAATTGGCCAGTTCTCTGTTAATCATTCGCGATTTCCTCAGTTTTTTTAAAATGAAGATTGGTGGCACTAACTAGTGCCCATCGGATACTGGGACAGAAACTTCAGTATACGTCTGGATAACCATACTTCAAGCTTGGTTAGTAGATGGGAAGAGAACCCAGATAGAGTACTTCCCGAGTTTCATGAGGCGCCGCACTCTAGATTTTCCACTGACACCGTCATGGTCGTGTAATAGGTGTTTCATCATACGGTTCGCTAGCGTTCAGGACATGGAGGTGAATGGGACTCAGGCTGGATGACACCATTCTCCCCCTTAACCCCATGTGGATGTCTTTGAGTCATTCTAGGATTTGTGCTGATAGTTAGACTGTTGTTGATGAACCCAAGGTCAGAGACTTCACTTTGTAGAACACTCTGTTCTCAGAAACGTACGTAGAAGTTGATCGAAGTGAGGCGAGTGGTCGGAGAGGGAAGGTGACCTTGTGAATCGTGCCATAACTACTGTTTTTTGTTTTTACATATGCCAGTCTGTGTTTTGCGAACATTCCTATGTTACGCTTGAAAAGTCAAGCCGGCAAACACACGCTTTCGGTAATTCTTCATCAGTAGCTATGTGGCTAACTAATGCAGTGCTATGTCGCCAGAAGACATTGACACAGGCTCTCTGTCCTCCCTGACCGACACAAACCTCAGATGCTCATCGTACGCCGCCCCAACCCCTTGATGACAGGATATGTACTCTACGTACTCGACGTACTGACATCACTCACAGTCTGTGTCACCATCTTGCCCGCAATGACCATAACACGTCGATCTCGTCCTGCGAGTGGCGTGGCGACGATGAGTACTAATAAACCCTTAGACACATATAACCCCGGGAAACGTCTCATATCTCCAATTTCTATGTAACTGCATGGGCCTGAGAATGAATTACTGGAAACACGTGTTTGTCAACTTGACTTTTCATTTCGATCCAATTGTGAAAGCTCGGCGTCTCGGTGGGATTCGAAGTCCCGACAGAAAGGGCAGGTTTTTGTACGACCAATGCTCTAGCCACCTGAGCTACAAGGCCCCACTGGCAGACGTGAGTCTTCTTGTTTGTTCTGACGGTTACCTTTGCAGGGCACTGCTCCCCGCCCGCAAATTATCAAGGATATACTGGAGTAGGTCGAGGGCGGTAAATGCCACATTGTGCGGTCATGTATGTGAACAACAAAAAGTAGGAGATGAAGGGCCCTTTGCCGATCCGCGCATTGGCAACGAAAATCAAACTTAACAACAATCGTTGACCCTTTACTTTACGGACGCTACGCACTGCCCTCTTGACGACAGAGGTATAAACTGTTTTTGAATTAGAAACAAAGGCCACTGAATTTGCCAGTTCTGTAAATTAATCGAATTTTCGCAAATGCGCTATCATGATTGCAGCAGTTTTAGGGTTTTGGTGTTCTGTAGTCGTGTAGATAACACACCTGAACTTTATGAATTTTCATGGGCCTCTGCTAATCTGTCAATACCCGAGGCACTACTTCTGCAACGTGCTGTCTTCTGAAGCCACAACATAGTTTGTCCGGAGACTGCGTGCATGCGAGAAATGAGAACCCGCTGCCTGTAACTAAGTAAAATTGGGTGGTTCCGTGCGCTTTGATATCTAGGAACCTCAAACGCTTTACTGCGTAGAAATTGTGATAACCTAATACGGCCATGTTTTAAGACCGTGCGTTAACAGCCTAAAGACCACTAAGCCTCATTACAAACAACTGCGCTACGACCGTCTTGAAAAATTACCGTCATTACCGTTACCATCAAAACCACCGCCACCTTCATCAGCTAATCCGCTACAATTAGCATCAGGAGGCACTGAATTGTGACTGCTTTGTCCCTAGACGTCAAATGAAGCCGTTCTTGTCAGTTCCTCTGTAACCGCGAACGCAGTGTTATTTGACTACCTATTCAGTCAAATACGTGCCAAAGTGGCCGTTGAGGACAGTGAGCATGGGGCGGAAGCCTTTTGTCACAACTTACCTGCAGGGCACACACCGTACTGTAGATCATAGGCTGGCGTTTAAGGCTATCCTTCACGCATCACTGGTCACTCCCAACCCTATTAGGAGATCCTGAAGATAAAAAAATGCGAGAGGAGTGGTGCAAGCAATTCGCGGACGCCAGGAAACTTAC